TTCAAGGGTTTCTTTTTATTGTCCAAGGTTGAGATGCACAGGAACTTAGGATATCCCATGTTTCCTGAAATGAGCCTACATAAATGACCCACACTTGTGAGCAATGTCTGCCGCTGTGTTTCCACCTTTTTGTCCTCTGTGATTGAAGGGGAAGGGATAGTGAGACCCATCAATAATACCTGTTAAATGCCACCGTGTTCTAGGTACCTCATTTTCATATTACCTCATTGAATCTTTGCAGCACTTCTGTGAGATAGTGACTGGGTTTGTCTGGTTAATGTCGAGACAGGGTCTCATGTAGCTCAAGCTCTGGCCTCAAATTCCCTATGTAGCCAAGTATGGCCTTGGACTTCTGATCCTGCTGTCTTCACCAACCAAATGCTGAGATTACTGGTGCGTGCCACCATGCCTGATGAAACAGACTGTGTTAAGATCCCATTTTACCCTTACGGTTCTCAGAGAAGGTCACTCAACAGCATCCTCAGGTGGGGAGCTGGGGTTTGAGGCCAGCACCTGGCTACAGAGACTACATCTTCTAAGTGTTGAAACTGAATGGCTGCCCTATGCTTGATACCAGTCATCTTGTCGGGGAATGAGGCACATTCCAGCTTGTAGTTTGCAAAGGCAGAAACCCGTCAAGATTGCCTATGGCACATGGCTGAGTGGGGCTTGAACTTAGGGCTGCTGTCCCCAGAGCCTCTTGGTAACAACTTGCCATGGATTTCTGTCCCTTCCTCTTGCTCTTTACACCTACCCCCCAGGACTGCATCCACCATTGTGGGTGGTGGAGGTCTGAGGTTTTGGGAATTCTGAAGGGACTGTCACAGTCTGTTTCCTGCTCTGTGCTATTGATTGCCCTCAACAGAAGGCTGTGAGACTAGAAACAAGGCTTGCTGGGCAGAAGCATTGCAGCTTCATAGAAAGTGCTATTATTACCGTTGGATTTCTGTATGTATGTATTATTTATTCATTTATAGTTAGCATACAATGAAATGAGTGCCATTGTGCCATTTTCATAATTATATGTCATTATACTTTCCCCCTTTATCTCCTCCCCCATCTCCCTTTGCTGGTCTCCTTCCTCGATTGAAAAAGCCCCTCCTGCTTTCCTGTAACATATTTTGTTACTTCCTTACCACTGCTTCCCGCTTCCTTTCTGCTCCTAGACTGTCTTTTTCCAACACACACACACATACACACACACACACACACACACACACACACATACACAGAAACACACACAGATAGACATAGACATACCCAGACACAGACACAGACACACACATACATAGACACAGACACAGACATGCAGACACACATATATATAGACACAGACATGCAGGCAGACACACACATACATACACACATACATAGACAGACACAGACACACACATACATACACAGACACATACATAGACACAGACACAGACATACATAGACACAGACATGCAGACACACACATACATAGACACATGCAGACACACACATATATAGACACAGACACAGACACACACATACATACACACATATATAGACAGACACAGACACACACATACATACACAGACACACACATACATAGACACAGACATGCAGACACACACATACATAGACACAGACACAGACACACACATACATACACACATACATACACAGACACACACATACATAGACACAGACATAGTCACACAGACACACACATATACATAGACACAGACACACAGACACACACATACATAGACATAGCACGCAGACACACACATACATAGACACAGACACAGACACGCAGACACACACATACATAGACATAGACACACAGACACACACATCCATAGACACAGACACACAGATACACACACATACATAGACACAGACACGCACACAGACATAGACACACACACAGGCAGACACACACATACATAGACACAGACACACAGACACACACATACATAGACACAGACACGCACACAGACATAGACACACACACGTACACATACACATGCACACTCAAATCTAGATTCTACATATGAGAGAAAACATGGGATGGTTGTCGTTTGGAGCTTTGCTGTTGGTTTTGGAAGTATGGAAGGTTAGAACATAATGGCCTCCCTGGCCACTTATTTTTCTGGAATCAAATCCAAATACCTCAGTTAAACCTGCAGTGAGAAGGGATCCCAGGCACTGAGATGTGCAACATGGTGTGCGTTCTACTTTCAACACCCGTGTGCACAAGGGAAGGCCGAGGTGACTCACAGTCTCCTACCTGTAGCTCTGCAGGGCAGCAGAATCAGGGAGCTTTTCAACGAGGCTCATCGCTGCCAGGGCCTGGGTAGGTGAGCTGGGGATTCCTCAGGTAAGAATGTAAGTGAGGGATTTAACATGAAGGAAGATGGATTCTGACCAGGAAATTTATGAGATAACATCTGTGTGCCATAACTTCCATCTGTGTGTGTCTGTGTGTCTGTGTCTATGTATGTGTGTGTCTGTGTATGTATGTGTGTGTCTGTGTCTGTCTATGTATGTGTGTGTCTGTGTCTGTGTCTATGTATGTGTGTGTCTGCATGTCTGTGTCTATGTATGTGTGTGTCTGTGTATGTATGTGTGTGTCTGTGTCTGTCTATGTATGTGTGTATGTATGTGTGTGTCTGTGTCTGTGTCTATATATGTGTGTGTCTGCATGTGTCTATGTATGTGTGTGTCTGCATGTCTGTGTCTGTGTCTATGTATGTCTGTGTCTTCCATCTTAAAGGGAAGTTGTTGGGTAGCAACAGTGCAGTCAGATCATTTGGAGACCCCTCAGTTGGCCTCTGGCCAGGCAGATACTGTCACTGGGGCTGAGCTGGGGTGGGGGTTGGACACAGGTATCCAGGGGTGTGCTCATGCGGATGAGCTGTGCCCTCTGGGAGGGGTGGAGCAGAGGTGTGACAGTACCTGCCCTGCCTAGTCCACACCGCTCTACTGAGATCACTGGTGGTGGAGGGGAGGTGGAGGTGGAGGTGGAGGTGGAGGTGGAGGTGGAGGTGGAGGTGGAGGTGGAGGTGGAGGTGGAGGAGTCATCTGCTGCACTCTGGTCCCGCCTCAGGTACACACATGCAGTTCATGAGTGTAAACCAGATGTGTTACTGCGGAATAGGAGGTGGGTGGGCAGGGCTACTGGCAAACAGTGCAGGTCTTGTGCCTTCCAGCTCCAGACAGGACTGTGAGCACCCCTTCCCTTTGCTTATGAGTGGTTCAGGCTAGCCAAGAACTCCAGTGGGGAAGAAAGCCTGGAGGAAAATTCAGAATCCACGCAGGTCCTGGAGTGGAGGAGTAGCCGAGCCTGTGTCTGCAGTGCCCACAGCACTGGCCTGGCTTGCCTGAAGACTGAACCCAGAATGCTTTGTCCTCCCTGCTGCTGATAGAACAATGAATCTTGTTGGGTTGATTTTCCTTCATGGCCACAGTGGCATGGGGATAAATTACTGCTTTGGTTTTCCTCTACAGATTTATCAATTAGAATAAAATTCTACATCCTAGCAGCAGGTCCTTCTGTGCTTGCTGCTGTAGCCTGTGAGAGGCCCTCCCGCAAATACACTGCTTCTCACTCTCATCTGATCCTCCTGGCTCCCAGGGAGGTGAGAAAGGCACAGAGAGGTTGAGATTTTGCAGTGAGGCTCTGAACAGGGACCCTAATGACCAAGCTCACTGAGTTGACTTCACGTAGGCTTGTGATGGCCATTGTTACTCTCCATTAGGAACCTTCCTTGGAAGGCCCTCTCCTTCCTTAGGCCGGGTGGGAGCCTGACTCTTCCGTGGGAAGGTGCTTGAACCTCCTATGTTCTTGGTAGATGAATGAGTGAATGAACGTGTGAGCCTTGGGCCATTGTGTTTCCAGGCAGAGCATGGTTGGGGGTTCAGTGGCTCAGTCCTGCCTGTTCTCTGCCCTAGGCCTTCTCCTAGCCTCTCCTTTCTGTTTCTCAGGACTGCTTGGACCACAGATGAACAACCTTCTTGATTCTCAGTCTCACTCTCTTCCTAAGTAGGCGATTCCTAATAAGAATCTCTAATTCTTATTAATAACTTTTATGGAAAGGTGTTTCCTAGCTACTTTTTGTATTTTGAAAGATTTTAAAATTGAGGGAATTTGCTAGGTTCATCAATACCTCTCGTCTTAAAACATGAAGCTGGCTACTGAGTCTTTGGGCACCCCTGTTGAGACCTCATCACTTGGATCCATGTAGTTGGTTCTAGACATAGTGTATACTCTTGGACATAGTTACAGACTACTACTAGATGTGTGATTTGGGCCCTGCACTACCTAGCAGCCACCATAAGGTGAAATCAAGTAAAGGAAACAGATAAAACAACCCTGTGATCTCCAGATCTTGAGATGCAGCTAAGATCTGGCCATGCCTTCAGTATATGCACAGCACCAATGGTTAAGCTTGATGGAGATAGGAAGTATGGGTACATATTGTCATTCCCTATCCTTGAATGCTTTCCTGTGTGAAAGAGGCTAGAAGAGTGGCTTTTCCAAGTGTGCACTGTGTATTGAACATAGTCCTGTGTCATCTGTATGTTACCCTCAGAAGGCAGTGGAGGAGAGCCAGATGTTTATGCTAACCTTGATGGACTGTCTTTATGCAAGCATGGAGCCCGGTACTACCTGATCCACTGTCTGGGCTGATAAGCAGCTGTAAGAGGAACAATTCAGTGTTCACAACAGATGTTCAGGAATAGAGATTTGGGAAAACACTCAGAAATTGCAAGCTGAGTATGTTCTCCCAGGAACCCACCCTTCCTCCCAACACACACATTAGTTTTCATCTCGCCTTACCCTCTGTTTGTGTGGATGAAAGTGACAGCTGAGCCCACTGGGTGTCTGAGGCTGTAAAAGAATTCTTGCTAGGGAACAGGGAACTTACCTAGACACGCCATCTGTAATGGCATGGACTGTAGAGAGGCAAGGGGACGGCTTACAGGATCATCTGCTCATAAGCTTTGCCTTTGCTTTTTCCCTCAGATGAGCTACGCCAAGCCATCGTGGCCATGATGAACAGAAAGGATGAACTGGAAGAAGAGAACGGGTACTGTGACATCACGGCTGCCTCTTTCTCTGACATTCTGTCCCCTTGGCAGAGTGAATGGATGGAGAGAATGGTGCCTTGCTTCCATAGCTGTGGCTGGCAACTTCTTACCTTACTGTTATTAGTACTTTAGATTCGTGTGTGTGTGTGTGTGTGTGTGTGTGTGTGTGTGTGTGTGTGTAGATGTGCATGGGAGCCAGAAGAGGGGACTGGGTGCCCTGGAGCAGGAGTTATAGGTAGTTTTGAGTTGCTTGGCTTGGGTGCTGGGATCTTTACAGATTTCTTACTTTTCTGGAATAGGCCACTTCGGTAGATTTGCTGTGGTCTGCATATAAGCGAGGGATGGAAACAGCAGTGCTCCCGCCCTCCAACCCAGAAGAATGTGGAGGTGCAACATTTAAAGACAACACTCGCTGATGTGATCCACATACCCACAATTTATTCGTTGTTTGTATATTCTCAGATGTGTGCAGCATCACCATGGTCAATTTTAGAGTAGTTTTATCACTTCAGGAACAAGTGCCATGCCACTTCTGTTGAACTCCCTGCCCCCAAAATACTCTGGAAGTGACCTTTAACTGAGGATCTATATTCTGTGTCCCAGTTCCACTCAAATTGGGGATTCTTGGGACAAGATGACATTTGGATTCTTTTCATTTGGTCAAAACCCAGTGGTCAACTCCAAGAGGCAAAGTGTTTTCTTAATTTTTTCTTCCTTCCCTATTGAAATCCATACTAGATACTGCCGATTGTCACCATGTCTGAAGTTGACCACTCTCCCCCCCCAGCACTTGCGTTGAGGCGGGGGTGGCCAGTGGCAGGCTTGCCTGAGGCTATTCACAAAAGCCTGTGGGACTCGGGGAGGTGGTGGGTGGAGGGTTCACATGTACATGTGTTCAAGTCACTTCCTGTTCTTTACTGGTGACAGTAGTCACAGTTCTTTCTGAGACCTTATTTTGGAACTGACAAGTTGTTCTTCATCCTTTGTGGAGCCATGCAAAGGCAAATAAGTGTAATCTCTAAAACAGCCAGACTGTTATTAGAGGGCTGGACAGCACCACTTCCAGATAGCATGCGTTCTCAACAGATGGCTTCTGGCCACTGCAAGGGTCATCTCCTGGCTCCAGCTGCAGTGATGCTCTTGGAAGCACCCTTGGGAATTGTTTTATGTTGTGAAGAATCACAGCCACTGTATGTTGTTTCTTCTTCCCGGACAGAATCCCCCAGGATGTTTCACAGGGGGTAGCATGTTCCAGGAGGGGAATCCTCTTCAAGCTCCCAGAGAACACGGCGAGTTTTGGAGAGCTCAGTGGTGGTAGGGCATTGTGGGGGCTTGGTGTATTTGATACACCCTGATGTTTACGGCAGGCATCCTCTGGATGTATGTGGCCTGTAAATACATCACAGTTGCCTTTCTAGAAACAGCCATTTAGGTACAGTGAAGCAGAACCTTGATTTACCTCAGGGTGGTAACTTGTGATCCTTCCTAGAACTGCTACTCCTGGTCATTTTCTGGGGATAAGAAATGTATATGCAAATGGACATGCTATAAAAGCTAAAAAGTATAGGAATATAAGATAATGTTATGCTAATGTATACTCCATAGAATGCCATACATTCTAGTTTATCATGGAGGTGGCTGTGGACTGAGTCCTGGTCTGTTCTATGGGCAGCAGTGGAAGCAGTTTGAAATATCTGTCATGGAATCTGAGCAAGTATTCTGTGTTTTTCTGCTGCAGAATATTCATCTGGGCTGTTTGACACCCTTCCCTTTGTGAAATGTTACCCAGTCAGGCTGTGTCAGAACTTCCGTTCATCATGCTGCACTTTTGAATGGAGTGTCTTTGAAAGCACCTCCCTGGCATTTGCTCAGCTCCTTCTTTCCCTTGATCTCAGCTGTCACAGGGGCAGGGACCCCAGTCTGACCCCACGTGATGGCCCTGGGGCTCACTGCAGTTACCACGCTCAAGCTTGCTGCCTACTAGCATCAGCTTATGCGAGCTATAACTGCACTGTGGTTTGTGCAGAACCTGTGGGCAGTGATGAGACTTGATTTCCCTTAAGAACTGCATTGTCCTCTGGGTGGGCTGGACGAGCAGCATCTGAACTGTGGGGCCTTCTTTTCCAGGTCACTGCGGAATCTCCTTGATGGTGAGATGGAGCACTCAGCCGCACTCCGGCAAGAGGTGGACGCCTTGAAAAGGAAGGTGACAGAGCAGCAGGAGCGCCATACCACAAAGGTCCAGGCACTGGCAAGGTAGACAGGGCAAGGGATGGAGAGTCAAGCATGTGTAGCCACAGTTCCACACATACCTTCTGTCTGTTCGTTTCTGAGAAAAGGTCTTGGTATGTGTGCAGCCCAGGAACTACAGGCAGGTGCCGCCACACCTCACTCATAGCTCTAGTTAAAGGAAAGGGGGTGCCAAAGGAAATTGCATTTATGCATTCCATTCATTTGGCTTCTTTGAATAAACGCCACACACGCATATGTTTCAAAATAAGGTTAACCGATGGGCACTCTCCTTTGCCTGCTGTGGATTGCTCCCTGCTGGCTTAACTATACCGATTCCAGAGGTGCTCTTTGTGTCCAAGGCAGATGTGTGCATGCAGAGCCCTTCCCTCTTCTGTGCAGCACTGTACCTCCCCGGCAGGGTTCTGTGCGGGAGTACCAAGGGTTGCCATCCTCTGGCTAGTAACTCCCAGTGTGTTCTGGTCTGACTGCACTGGGATTGATTCAACCAGTCTGCCAACATCTGGATGTTAAGGAGGTTTTCAGTCTTCTGTGAGACTCCCCAATGCATGACCTGAGTGCCAGCCATTGCGTTCTCACTTGAGTGTGTTTGCTGGATCAAAGGCAGGCACGTGCAGGCTGGGTCCTTCACAGGGCCTGCATGGGCCCCACAGCATTGTGGGAAATGGTGCCGCTCCCAGCTATGCTTGCGGGGAGCAGCGTTTTGGGTCCCGTAATATCACAGGAGAAAATCAGGCTGGTGCATTTCTCTAATTACAAATGCTGTTGATCTTATTTTTATTTAAGAGCCACTGATTAATTTTTTGTGATGTTGTTTATATCTTATTAAACAAAATGTGATGAATTAAGAGTCGCAACTCCTATGAAAACATCCAGTTTTTACCGAGTTTCTTCTCCTGTGGACACACTTTTCTACGCACTTATAGTTGACACCCCATCACTTTTCGTCCCCCCCCTCCATTTCCACTGTGAAAGCAAACTGAGGTTAGCTGTTGTTGTGATGTGTCACTGAATTAATATAGCGTATGAAATTGACCACACTGATTGGTCCGTTTAGCGTTTGGATTGTTTCCTGGTTTTTCCCATTGTAGGTGAGCCGAGCAGCTCCTTGGCTGTACTGGCTATTTGTCTTATTGCTGTGACAGAATTTCTGACAGAAGCCACTTAGGGAAGGAATGGCTGATTTTGTCTGAAGGTTTCAGGGGATTTCGATTCATCTTTTAGGGAAGACATGGTTGTAGGATGGTAATGTGGCTGCTTACATCACCACAGCAGACAGGAAGTGGTAATGTGGCTGCTTACATCACCACAGCAGACAGGAAGTGGCAATGTGACTGCTTACATCACCACAGCAGACAGGAAGTGGTAACGTGGCTGCTTACATCACCACAGCAGACAGGAAGTGGCAATGTGGCTGCTTACATCACCACAGCAGACAGGAAATGGCAATGTGGCTGCTTACATCACCACAGCAGATAGGAAGTGGTAATGTGGCTGCTTACATCACCGCAGCAGACAGGAAGCAAAGGGCTCACTCTGGCTCCAGAAGTGGGTATCATCTTCAAGACCCACTTCTACTTCCTAGACCATGTATTCCAAAGGTTCTATAACGTCCCCAGACATGGCCACACCTTGGGACCCAGTACTAAAACATGATACTGTGGGGGACGTTTCTGTCTAAAACTCTTAACACTGTGTTCTTTGAAATTGCTTTGAGTAAGGCCAGAGGGGAAGCATGTCCAGAGGCTATGCCAGGTGCCCAGAGTTAGGTGCTGTGGTGTGAGTGATTTTCATACACCTGTAATTCACCACAGTCACGTGACCCCCGTCTGCATTCTACCCCTTGAACGTCTCCCCTTTGCGTCCTATCCTCACAGGCGTCTCTAGGGCAGTGGTTCTCAACCATCCTTTCCCAGGGGGCTCCTAAGACCATCAGAAAACACAGATATTTACATTACAATTTATAACAGTAACAAAATTACAGTTGTGAAGTAGCAAAGAAAATAATTTTATATTTGGGGGTCACCACAACACGAGGAACTGTATTAAAGGGTCGCAGCATTAGGAAGGTTGAGAACCACTGCTCTAGGGCATAAGAGCCAGGTCAGAGGCAGAATTAGAGAGACTGGTTCCTGTTTGTATGTTTCCTGGTCTCTCATCTCACCTAACCTCACTGGAGCTCTGCGGTGGGACGCTGGTTCCAAGGACTTCTGTCTTCAGAGACACTGCTCTGAGCCCCAGTAACAGGCAGGGCTATGGTCCCTTCATGCTGCTGGCTTGTGTTAGAAGTCACCTTAGCCTTGAGCCCTGGCTCCAATAATGGAAATGTGTTTCTGCGTGATCTGTTGAGCTTCTGTCAATGTGTGCTTCTCATCTGTGCTGATGTGGACAGAGGAGGAAGGCCGTGGGATTCTCGAGATGCTTGACAAGCTGCTGTGCATACTTCGTGCTGAGTGTTCTTTACTGTGTAATCCTAGGGAAAGTTTTATCCTACACACAGGGTAGAGAAGCCACAGTTTTATAATCTGAAGCCTTCCCAGTTACACATGAAGAACTGTTTAAGGTACTTGGAAGATGGCAGTTGGCAGGTGGAAAGACATCTTTAAAATGGAAAAATATTCCCAAAAGAGAAAGTGGGAGAAAGCACCCTGAGCAGCTAGCCACGGTGGTGGGCAAGTGGACCTACTCAGGCAGTTGTCACTTGGGGACTAAGAGGGCTGTGGCACAGTCACACTGGGGCAGTGACTATCATAGGCTGAGGCTCATGTATGTTTTGGGCCCCCTTCTCCTAACCCCCAACATTACTCCTTTGCTCAGGTGGCTTAGTGGTATAGGATGCAGGCTCTGTCATTGGACTTCAGGGTCAGAGTTTGGTTTTGTTCCCTGCTAGTTACATGGCTGTGGGTGAGTTTTAACCTCTCTTTCAGTTTTCTTAGTTGTAAAATGGGGAAAAGAAAACTTCAATGAATTATCACATGTATAAAAAGAGAGAGCATGAGAGACCATTTTTGCTGGTTTAGTAAATACACTTCCTATGTGGGTAATCCATGTTAACTACCATCACTTTTTATTAATTAGGGTCCTAAAACCTTGCCTAATCACAGATATATTCTAATAGCAACAAGGCAAGAAGAATGGAAAGCTAGCTAGGCTCGTCATTTCTGAGTGCCCACTTAGAGTCCATCGTGTGCACATGTGTTTTATTAGCCTTGGGTACGGGATGGCGAGACAGAAGCATACTGAGTGAATTTAGCATTTGAGAGTCCTTTTGCTCAAAACTAATGACTTTCCTCATCTGTGGTGGTTCAACAAAGAGCCAGGGCATGGAGCTTGTGCAGTGCAATCAGGCACAGTTAAAGTTGTGTAAGTCACACCTCTCTGAAGAACTGATTGACTTGCTTCCAGCTGGGAGACAGATTTAAAAAAGAAAAGACATAGATTTACATGAGGAGTCCCTTTGAAGGAAGTGTCTTAGTCTCTGGTCTGGTGGCAGTAGAATACTACAGAAATAACTACCTCACTGTTCTGGAAGCTGGGAAGGCCAGAACTGAGGGGCTGCCCCTGGCGGGGGTTTTCTGGCATGTTAGAGTATGAGGAAGGGCAGCTCGTCACAGAGAGTTCACGTGAGGAAAGAGGCAGCTCACCTACTTTTGTAACAGACGTACTTGGTGCTTAGCCATTGATGAGGGCCCAGCCCTTGTAGTCTGATCAGTTCTTTTTTAAAGAAATTATTTAGATTTTTTTTATATGTATGAATATTTTGCTTTCATGTATGTCTGTGCATCAAGTACACCAAGTGTATTCCTGGTGCCTGGTGCCAAAAGAGGGGTTAGATTCCCTAGAACTGGAGTTCCTGAAAGTTGTGAGCCTCTACATGAGTGCTGGGAACTGAACTTGGGTCCTTTGCAGAAGCAACAGGTATCCTTACCTGCTAAGCAGGCTATCTCTCCAGCCCCTGATCAGTTCCTAACAGCTGACTCTCTGCATGTCTGTGTCAGGGATTGTGTTTCCCACGCATGGACTTAGGGAGATAGGGTCAAGGTCATCGGGTCACCCTGGGAACGTTTTCTGTCTCTGCTCATTGTGTTAGCTGTCTCATGGGACAAATTGTCTCGCAGCTTGGTCTCCTGAAATAGCAAGTGTTTAGATTCTCCATGATTTCTGTGAGTGAGGGGTCTGAAAATGGGTGAGGGTCTTTCAGAAGGTAGAGGTTGAGTTGCTGGCCAGAGTTGGTATACTTAAAGGCTTGAGTCGGACTAGGGGCCTACTGTCCTGAATGTGTCTGTCTGTGAGCAAGAGATTGAGTCCCTAATGTGAAGCCTTCTGAAGGCTGCTCACAAGGTGGTAGGTGGCTCTGTAGAGAAAGAGCCTGCCCCAGATAGAGGTCACCAGGTTCTGTCATCTTGAGAGCACATTGTTATTCCTACTGTATTCTGTGGTTACACAGACCAGCCCTGGCAGTATGGGAGGAAATGACCACCTTCACCAGGCTTCAGCTTCCTCCTGAGGCCACAGGGCCCTCCAGAGAAGCAGAGCCAACAAGATTTCTGTACCTTTCCGGAAAGCCATGTGTCCTGAGGTATTGATTCATGACTTGGGTGCTGGGGAGTTTCCTAATCTGGTCTGTCACTGGAGGCCTGGGAAAGCCAGTGGTGTGACCTGAAGGCCTATAAGGCAGAGGGAGGGCTGCTGCTGTATGTCCAGACTGACAGCCAGGAGCCCAAGGCAGGAGAGGCTCACCCCTGGCTCCAGCAGTCAGGCAGAGAGAACATTGACCTGGCTCTTTTGTTTTGTCCAGAGAACTTAGTGGAAGGATGACCCCTGGTTGCCCCGGTGAGGGCCCAGTGCTTTGCCTAGTCCACTAGTTAAGATGATGACTTTCCAGCAATACCCCAAACTCCCAGAGATGAGCTTTACTCCGACACCTAGGCGTCCATGGCCAGTTAGACCTGCACACTCCGCCAGTCTTCACTGGGGCTCTTCGTCCTTCCAGGCTGCCCATGCAA